CCTAATGGCTCTATCTTTTTAATATTGTCCTTTGCAACACGCTGCCAACTGTCCGTGCTCCACCACATCAACTATGCAGGTTCCTTAAACTCCCCATGCTCTCTCTCCACAGGCAAACAGGCTACTCTTTTTCTTGGAATTCCCTTTCTTCTTCTATTCTCTTTTTCTTTAACTTTGTGTAAGATCTGCCTTCTTTCTTCCTCTAAACACCTCACCCTGAATCATAATGGCCCATCAGATGTGACCTGAGATGTCTTGTGCATGCCCATATCATGACACTGGTCACATGGGGTGGTGACTATTCAGTTGTCTGCATCATCACCAGAAATGAGTTCTGTGAAGACAAGAACTCATGTTTTGGCTCTGAATCATTATAGCCTTAGAGAGTACATGGCACGTGGGAGAGCAGTGAAAGTCTCTGTTGAATAAATGGAGGTTAATCGCTATGTCGGGGCTTGAGCAGTTGCATCTGACTGCCTTAAGAGAATAACGGAAGCTTTGACAGAGGAGATCGGGTTGCAACGAAGACCTGAAGGATGGAGTTTCTAGGCAGACAAGTAGGGAGAGTGTTTCCTGATAAAGGAAAGAGCCTGTGCAAATGCCCAGTGGTTTGTGAAGGCAGATGAAAGTTAAGAAATGCAGATCACAATGTGCAGGGAAGGGTGGGAGGGGTTGAGGTGGCTTGTGTGTGCACACAGCGGGGTTAGGATATCTCCATGGTAATGATACTCATTCTTTGAGGAGGGTCAGTCAATCAGCTGTGTGACTCCAAATGTGATCCGCCGTGTATTTTTCCATCTCAGTGATAAGTGGGTTTTTCTAATGCTTTGCTGATATACTAAGGTGCTAGCAGATTTGCTAATTAAAGAAAAGGATGTCAAGTGGCTTTGGTAAAACCCATTCCTAGTGAACCGATGCTGGTGTATAGTAATCACTAATTCCTTTCCAACTTATTTAACAATCTATTTTGGTTTTCACGTCTCCAGGCTTTGACAATCAGTTTACTTTGCAGCTTACAGAACTGGCTTAATCTGTCATTTTTGGAAACTGAGACATCTGCCTGCCTTCCGTCTTCTGGTATCTTTTGTTCTCTGGATTCCTGAATATAACCCACAATATTCTGTGAGCACATGTATAGTTTAGGAAGGGAAATAATTTTCCTAGACCTAGACACTTAGCTACTCAACAGTATTTTGCTTTGGGCTTCTCTCTTCAGCTTCAAGTAGTGTTAAGGGGAACAAGTATGGTGGGAATGACACTGAAACTCAAGATTTCACATTGGCTGAACCTTTCGGGTCGGATATGGGTAGAGAAGACCAAAGCGACAGAGGAGCTGAGCAGTCCTGACACCTTTGTCTCCTGTTATCACATATTATCTATTTCACACATGGTCCTTTAGTGTTTTCCTTGCTCTGTAAACATGTCTAGAAAAGTCAGCTTTCTTGCCTGTGGCACTTTGGGGCAAGGCTTAGCTCAGTTATGAGTTTTGTCTTTCAAATGCTATCTCTGTTTTTGTATCTGCCCTTGGTCACATGCCCTTCTTATACCTTTTAGATTCAGCCTTCTCAATTCCCACAGTTGGTACAATTCTGAGTTTGGGGGATATGGTGAGGGCTTTATGGTGAAATTAAAGCAGGAAAGTGTCTAATTTTCTCTCAGATTGATAAAATGTTTTGTTTTTTAACTTTCGTACCCATCTTCAGTCCCAGTCCCCACCACCCCCACCTGCCCGATGCACAGACCTGCCGACACCCACCTGCAAAGTGTGTGAGAACGAGGACGTAGTTCTCCACGTTGCCCACGGGCGCCTTCCACTGCAGCAGGGCTTCTGTGGGAGTGATGTTGGCAGCAGTCAGATCCACAGGATTGTCCATGGCTGAAACGGTATAGGAAAAAGGCAGGTGAAGTAAGAGGAAGTGCGGTGAACTGGGTCCTCTGGTTCCACCCATGATGCGTGTCTGCTGCTGCGCCGAAATAATGAAGCGAGTGAAGACCTCGTTCCTTTCTCCCCTTTCTGATTCCATCGGCCCCTTCCTCGTCTCCCATTCCTCCTCCATCTCAAGTACCCAGTTCTCCCCTGGTTGCCCCCAGATCTTCCTTTTAATTCAATCATTAACTTCATATGTACAGGGCACTGTCAGGTGTCATGGGGGAGTCCAAGTATGGCTGTTGTGTTTTAGACATTTAAACCTAGATGGAGAAGCTAAGAACATATAGAAATTGTTATTGTTCTTTAGGTAATGAGATCATGTGCTTCCCAGGCTATTTGTACTTCCATGAATATAAGGGACATGCCTTGTGGAACCATCTCTGTTGAACTTCAGGAATTATGGTGTGTGTTCCGTGAAGTCAGGGAGTCACCCCAGCATCTGGAACTTACAAGTTACTCAGTAAATATTTGTGGAATGACAAACGGGAGTCAGGTTGCCTTTCAAGTCATATCTGATTATTGAATTCTTGCTTTGCTAATACTGACTCTGTATTGAGTCCCAGGGGTCCTTTTAGTTTCACAGAGAGTCAAGGGAATTCTTTCAGGCTTAAAGCCAAGAATGCCTGTTGAGGAAAGGAGTTTGCACCATGTTCCCATGCTCACTTGCCAATGCTCCCTGCCTCTGTTTCCTTACCACACCTCCCTTCTGTAAAGTTGGGAGTTTATTTTAGAAATGGATGTTATTATAATAGTTTAGACATCTGCTCAACCTGCGTGTCATGTACTTTGCTTTGGGGACCAAGATGTGCTGTTAATCTGGCCCTCTTCTCTAACTGAAAGATTTTATCATTTGCCTGTGTCCTTCATGTCAAAGAAACAACCACCATAAAATGTGTTTACAGTTTTAATGTATCCATAACCTATGCCTTGAACGAGTTCTTCAAATGCAACCTTATGAAAAGGAACAAAGACGAAAAGTCTTACGAGACTACGATTAGCTTGACCTCTTTGCAGTTCACCATGAGACCCTGAGTAGTATTCATTTCCAAATGTTATAAAATCATAGACCCCACATTAAAGCAGCCAGAAAAAACCAACAACAAAATAAGACATTTCTGAGAGCAGTCTGGTTATTGGGAGTTGCCGAAGTAGCTCTGTCTGAACTTGAGGAGGTGCAGTTTGGGTCGGTGCACTCTTGAATATCTCCTTTAGAGATCCTTGCTGCTTATGACCGAGAACCCAAGGAATGAGTTTGTAACCTGGGCTGCTGTTCTTTTAGGAATTTCTTGAAATCCATTTTATTATCCTCACTGAGAGAAAGCCTATTTTCTGTAACATGAATATCTAACATTTTGAGGAAAGTATGAGGGGGTTCATCACTTCAGGTCAATATCTGTTGAAACTTTAAGGGTCATAGATAACTTGATAGAAAGGGTAAGACTGAACCAAAACACATGGCTGGGCTATCTGTACATGGAGGCGTGGAAGGAGATTAGGGAAGATGAGAACATCCTGGGCTGTCTTTTAGATGAGTAATTTTTTGAGTTTCTGAAGGAATGTTTCTTTGGCCTTGGCCTTAGAAATGCTCTTTCTGGGCTTGTGGGATCACCTACAACAGCAATGAGGAATTCCCTGTTACATTTTCCTTATTCAGGAAATACCATTCTCTGAGGAAAGTAGGCAGCCTCAGGAAGTCCAGGCGTTCCCCTGATGAGGCAAGCTGGGTGTTTTCCTATGTGCTGTAGGAACACTAGCTTCACTGAGAGGTTGGGTCTAGGGGTTGGAGACAGAAAACTCTGGCTGTCCCCTCTCGTGACATCTACAGCAGATCTTTCTCAGTTCTGCAGGACGGGCTGGCTGAGGGGTCGGGGGGGAGGGGCAGTGGAGCTGCTGCAGAAGCCCTGTCCTCGGGCTCATTTTTCAGAGGAAGCCACCCCGTTCTTCCTCCCCTGGAGCATGAAGAGCAAATGCAGCTACTTGGTGGTTTCGGGCTGTATAGGATGGGGAGTTTCATGACCCCAAGGGTCGTTACTGGAATAATAACCTTTTTTTTTAACCCCCCTAAGGTAAAATTTCCTTGTTTGAGTTCTTTAAAAAATTAGATGGGATGAATCAGGTGTCTGTTCTGAAATTCACTTCTGTCATGAGTTTTCGGAAGGTCACTTTTCATTTTGGAAATTCCACGAAATTTTCTGACCTAAACCCTTAAGACTCTTAGAGGGTGATTCCAAAGTCCTAGGATTGCAGAGGAACGTCAAAGGGGAGAAAATTGGAAACTGTTTTGCATAACAGTGTGAGTCAGAGGAGGACGAGGAGTGGAGCCTGGGACCCCAGAACCAGTGTCCCCACCGTTAGCCAGGTAAACTTTTCTGTGTGTCACAGGTTCCCAGCCAGGGGCTCGACCTGACCCGCGACAGGGACACAAGCCTACCTGTGTGCACGAGAGTGCAGATCCGCTCACTCTCCTCCCTGCCCCGCACGCTGTTGAGGCTGATTTCGTACTCGGTAGCTGGGGACAGCTTGGCGATGGTGAATTCTGTCACCGTGTTGGGCACCACCGAGCTGTCTAGTCGTCCCACTAAGGGAGAGCAGAAGCCAGAGTTAAAGTTCAGTGGATCCTGCATCATGAACGCAGCTCATGGCACAGTCTTTGTAGCCGCTCCCAGTGGTACTTGGTCATGGGTGCAAGTTGGGGGCGGGGGGGACTAGGGATGTTGGAGCTTGAAGAGACCCTGTCTGCTGGTTCCATCCCCTCATTTTATAGGCTCCCAGGAACAAAGAAAAAAAGCACTATTTATTAGATGGTTTTCTAACAAGCTGGTCTTCTTAAAGCAGTATGGAGGGCATGACTGCAAAGAGTGGTCCACGCAGCCCAGAGACAAGATAGTCTGAAAAATGATCCCACCACTTCACTGGAAGGGAATGTACCCTCCACTTCATTAACAATTCTACATGCACCTGCAAGAACTGGCAGGATGCAGGTGAGGTCTGGGCCAACTTCTTCTGACTCATAGCTTGGCTGGAGTGGCAGTAGTAGGACCACCATCACTGGGATCCCCTCCAAGGCTCCAACTGGCTCTGTGGTGTCTTTAGGCATCCCCCGAGGGGTTTAGCCTTGGACTTTAATTCTCTCAGAAAAGCACATGTGAGATTCTTGGCAGATTCTTTTAGGGTCCTTTGTTTCTGACTACACTGTCTGGATAATGGTGACTGATTATCATGGTTCACTCTACTGTTGAAGGCCCTGCTTTCTGAGTGAAAGTAATCAAGCCTTTTGTGAGAGGAGTTGGTGAGTTCAGGGTTCCTTGGCCACTCCCCATCAACCCACTGTCATTCTGATGGAGTACACTACAGAGAGGAGGGAAAATGCAGGCGGGGCTGGGGGCGATATCCTCTGGGATCTGCTAATCCTCCCATAACAATCTTCATCTAGCTCCAAATCCCATTCATCTTTGAGAAATCAAGTAACTTTATTACCTTGTGTTGGCCGATACGATACTCGGTAGTAATCGAAAGAAGCAACAGGAGGGCTCCAGGAGACCACAACTGAGTCCTTGGTCACATTGCTAATTGTGATGTCTTTGGGGGGATCAATTCCTACAAGGACCCGGGGGTTGTGGGAAAAAGACAGAAAGCACAGTGTGAAAAAGGCATTCCTATTTTTAGTGTTATGTGAACCAAGAGCTAATGGTACCCTGGAGACAGACAAGACTTTACTTTGTGCAAGGGCATCCTTAAACCTACGTTCAGGCTGGAGTCTCAGCTGAAACCTTGTAGTTATGGCCAGAGCCATGCTATTGGAAGATTGTGCAGCAACAATTACCTATCTGAAGGCCAGATGGGAACTTTCCTTTAAGTGCGTGTGTTTTGTTTTGAACTGGGAGTAACAGTCATTTTCTCTGGGGCAGCTTCTCTTGTACAAACGAACTCTGTCTCTATCTCTTTTTTTTTAGCAATCACCTTTGGTTCAATTTGGAAAAATTGCTATTGACTGTAGAGAGATTTCAGAGCACAAGTCCAGAACAAATCCACTTTCCTAAATTGTATTTCATTTATCCTGTATGCCTTTTTGTTTTTTTGACTCCAGGAAGATTGCAGGTTGAAACTAGCTGGGTGTTTAATCCACGTATTCAGTTTGTGAGTTCTTTATGTAGGAAACCACCCAAACACACATGTCCTCACCCACATGCACATTCATATTGGTGATTGTATTTGAGAAGGATGAGATCAGAGCGATCCAGTTGATTTCAGAGTAACTGTGCTTTCCAGACCACAGGTAGATCAACTCCATTCTCTGAGTACAAGGTCCCTATATGGTTACATGCTAGTCCCATACGAGTCTGAGGAAGCAGCATTTCTGGGTAGCCAAGCCATGGCTCTCCAGAACAGGAACAGATGTCTCCTCACTGTAGAAGGGTTTCCTCTTGGAGACTAGCTTTCTCCAAGGCTTTCCCTCAGTTGGTAGTGGGAGGGCCTCTCAACAAATGCATTCAAGCCCTGGCCTCCTCCAGACATTGAGTCCATCCTACCTTCTAAATGGAAGTTTCCCGTCTTATACTTTCTGTGCAGCCCTGGAAGAGGTGGCTGTTTCAGAACAACTCATAGACCCTCTCTAGCCTAATGAAGCAGTCTCCTATTCCTTGGGTGTTTCTCTTTGTAAGTTTCATTGACTTGTCAAAGGCTACCGTGGGAACCCCCTTCACCACCTGCTGTCAAAGTCCCCCAGCCTCACCTGTGGTGATGGAGCCCACGATGGGCTCAGAGGTCACTGTGCCATGGACTGCCACCAGGTTCACGATGTACTCGGTGGCTGGCTGCAGGCCCATTAGTACAGCATGCCTCTTGGTGGCATCCAGGGAGACCTCCATCATCTCTTCCTCTTCATCCCGGGGGCTGTAGTTCAGAATGAGTCTGTCTGCTGGAGGGGATGGGTCACTCCAAGTGATGTTCACACTGGAGGAGGTCACGTGGGAAAAGTGCAAATGGGAGATGGGGCGGAAGCCTGCAAAGCAGAGGAGATGGATGGTTCTGACATACATGTGGGGTAGTGGGGCCACTGGGATAGAACAGATGTCTGACTGAAGAGATCTGCTTTCCTTGCTGGTGAGGGCTACACCTTCACTTCACCTGTTGGCCCAGAGCCTCCACATCCTCACTCTCCTCTTCTGTCCACCCTCCTTTTCCCCAAGCCATTCACTGAAAAATGGATGCCAGTAGCAGGATAAAACCAGCAGTACCTCTGTGAGCTATTCATAATACTTAGCTAGGATTTAAAACCTCAGTCCTAGAAGGAACTTAACATGATCCTGTGGATCCTCTGAATGCCCACTGATTTAGCAAAGGCAGGGAAAGATGGACAGAATCAACTACTATGTCCAGCCTATAGGAAGCCAGACATGAAATTTCAGGCAGGCAGGTAGCCTTGTTCATCCCTCCCCGTTACCTCCAACCATTCCTTCTTGAGGTATTTATTAGTTTCCTCTCTGTCTCTTCTTTCTCTACCCACATTCTTCTTTTCTCTAAAGGAAATGGGGCATTGGAAGAATAGGTTGCCTAGATGACTTTCTCACACTCAGATCTGTTGATCCCTGAACCCAGCTGAGATTTCTGGTACCTGTGAAGGCATCCACAGTGGACTCCAGGCTCTGCTGCCGACCCCTCTCAGCAGTGATTGAAATGATGTATTCTGCCCCAGGCTCTAGGTCTGTCAGTGTGTACGAGGTCCTGTCCTTGGGCACAGTGACTTCCGAGGCGATCCCAGAAGATGGGGTAAAGGTAATTCGGTAGTGGTCAATGGGGCCGCTGGCCTTGGTCCAGATGAGGGAGATGGAGGTCTCCGAGGAGGCTGTGACCATGAGGTCTCGCGGACTGTCTAGTTCTATGGATCAACGTAAATGGCCGACTTTACATAAGTTCCACAGCAGGGCCAGCATGTATTGGAATTGGACCCTCTGTGGGTTTCTAAGCTACCAGAGGGCCTGTGACCATGCGAATTAACTTGTCATCGCTGACACTTATCTCACCTTCCCTTCGAAAGATGACCAGAGCTTGGCTTATAGACAAACAATCTGCAGAAAGCCATCAGTAACTCCAACACCACTGGAATCTACTCACCTCTAGGACAAAGCTGGCTGCTGATTTCCAAGCTCTCCGTATTCATTTTCTCTCAGCCTTTCTCAGCAAGCCAACCAGGGGGAAACAGGGTCCACCATCCAGTAGGGATATGCCATTCCTGGAAACCGTAGCTACCTCTGTTCCTAATGCCATTTGAGCTGACCTGGCCATGGGTGTGCAGGCAACAAGATCTGAGGACTCCTGGAGACCCATGTCCATGTGGTTCTCTAGAGAGGGTGTCTATGCTGGGCAGCCTTGGGACAGAATTTGGTTCAAAATCCCCAGCCCAGCCCAGACTGCTTATACCTAAGGTACTAAAGTGGCTTTGCAATTTGCTTAGGATTTGGAAGCAAAACTGCTAGATTCAGAGTAGCAAGGATCTCAGTGGAGTTCCCCATGGCCCTAGATTGAATGGGCTGTTTCCAAGTCTAGATCTTCACCCTGTGGCCTTTCTGAGGGCTTCTGTCATATGCAGTGAGGAGTGCCACATTCTGCCTGCTTTGGGGTGGCCTAGAAAGACATATGACTTGCTACAACACCAACCTATTTGGGACTTTCCACCTCTGCTCTGCACAGCTGTGGGCAGCATCAGACCACAGGGGACCACGTGCAGATCTATGGGGAGGAAGGTGGGACCCCATCCTGCGTGTCAGAGTCAGAGGCTAGGCACAGGGGATCGAAGAGCTGCAGGGAGATGTAGTTTCTATGCAGATAGTTGTCACCCAGGGACCTGTCACTAGGGGACATTGCCTTCTGACCAATCCTTGCCAGGACAAGCCTCCGCGGCCCCTCAGGCTTACAGAGTATCCTGGTCTCCTTCAACACCAGTCCTGCTACTCACCGGTCCTGGCGTTCATGGTGGCCGGCACACTTTGCTGTGAGTTCATGACAGCGGATATTCCAACTCCATACTCAGTGCCAGGCACCAGATCTGTTGACAGATGTAGAAACAAACATTATTCCATGTGTGTCAGGGGCGGGGAAGGCTGAACAGAGGGAAGCAAGGGACCTTAGGCTCCTGTTCAGATCTTACGTCTAATCCATCCTGAATCCCCTCCTAATTTCACTTATGAGGAAATCTCAGTTTCACAACTCAGGAAATCCACACCAAGTCAGCTGGACGAACTGGTCAGTGCAGAGCTTCCTTCTTGCTGCTTGTCTCCTCGGGAGGACAGTGAGGCTGCCCTTGTCAGTGACCCTGAGCAAGTGTGTTCTCCTGTGGAAGGTCTCCCCGAGGAACACACAGCAGAAGCAGTGAGAAAACCCTGCGAGGACTCTTTTATAGAGGCATGAATCTCATTTGGGAGGGCTCCACCCTCATGACCTAATCATCCTCCAAAGGCCCCATCTCCTAGTATCGTCAAATTGGGAATGAGAATTCCAACATATGAATTTTGGAGGGACACAAACATTTAGTCCATAACACATGCCATTTCCCTGTGTGTCCATGTCTCTTCCTCTTCTTATAAAGACACACTGGTCACATTGCATTGAGGGCCCACCCTAATCCATTGTAACCTCATCTTATCTTGATTTCATCTGTAAAGACTATTTCCAAAGAAGGTCACATTCACAAGTTCCAGGTGGATCTGCATTTTGAAGAGGACACTATTCAAACCAGAGCATTATCTTTTTATAAAAAGAAACGGAGGCAACATGTAAGTCTGTGACCTGCTGAAGATGACACTTGGGCTTCTGGCCTCAGGGTTCAGGGCTTTTAGGACTGAATGCCGAACTCTCTCTTCATTTTATCCCCTGCCCAGAGCAGCTGTGACTTCCCCAGGATCCCTGGGGGAATGGAAATGATGTTGATAGAAGATGCACCGAGCAACCTTTCTTTAATGAACGGCTTGGTTTAACAAAGGGGAACGCTGCGTGGTGGCCAGAGGGTTCTGCACCCTCTCCTCGTATGGCTTTAGGGCAGCTGGTGCGATGAAGCCCCCGGGACCGAGGCCGGCAGAACCTCCCGGGCCTTCCTGAGCAGGCTCTCCTGAAGGAATGTGTTAGAATCAGCCGTCTTTTTCCCTTCTCAGACCAGCTCCATTCCTTCCCTAAACCTCAGTTCTTTCTTTCTCTAACCATGTCAACACGGGTGGAGGCAAATTTTGGCTTTGAGATCTGCCATGCTTACATTAGTGTTAACATCTTTGAACTTCAGTGTCCATAGAATGAGAAAAATAACCATTATCTGTCTCAGAGGGTCATTGTGAGGATTAAATGAACCAGTGTGTAGGAAGTACAGCGCCTGGCCCATCGTGATAGCATCCAGTGTTATTATGACCATTGGAATGGCAGCCAGCGCCGTTACCTTGCTCAGAGAACTATTCCAGGATTTTGGGTCCTTTTTTTGTGAGCCCCAGGCAGGTTGGTTCTCGGCACACCTGGGATCGGTTTGCTGCGGCTGTGCCTGTTGGCTCTGGTGAAACCAGTGACTCCAGGAGTGCAGGTGTCAGTGAGGAGCTGGCCCCTGGCCGGGCGGAGTACCTGTCACTAGATCGAGCGGATGATTGCAACGTCCCCAGTTCCGTTGGAAGCACACATTTATCTCCGTCAGTATGTACAGCGAGTCCCAGGTACATCCTTGGTTGGAGAAATTAGATTACCTTTGGGACATAAACTATTTTTCTCAGACAACTGATTGAGACCTTCAATTGCCTATAATGAAGTAGAAATTCTCCGACGTCGATGAAGGGTGACAGATCGAGGGAGGAAGACAGAAATTATATGTTGCCAAACAGATCTAACATGTAACGCTTTCATCCGAGTTTCTTATTTATGAAGCTTAAATGAAATGTTCAATAATTTACAACGGACGGAATCATCTTCTCCCAGAAAATGGCAGAGCAGAATTTAAAGTACTCTCCTCCCAGGCTTTCTGTCTAGGGGATGGGGAAGTGGGACTTGCTTAGAGGCTCCTGCCTGCCGCTTTGCTTTGATTTCCAGCAGCTTTCTTCCTGTGTTACGAGTGAATTGTTGCTCTTTGCCAGCAGGTAAAATACACTTCTGCTGGAAAAGGAAACGATATCCAAGGCAGACCCAGTCCACTTATGTATCAACACTCAGAGGGCTCTGAGGGGTTCCTCACTTTTAAAGACCCCATTGCTCTCTACCAATGCTCCCTTTATCTTTCCATCCAACTCCGGCCCGTGGTAGTATATGAATGGCTCTGTTCCCTTCCTGCACAATAGCTCAGAAAATCTGTCCCATAGGAAACCAGCACTCTGCATCCTTCACAGGACTTCCTTTGTTCAGCTTGGAGGTGACGCTCTTCCCGACTCTTTCACTGCATACCCATTCTTCTTTGAACTCCCAAAGCACACAGTTGATTCACTCCATGAACGTGATCGGGGGCCTCCTCTGTGCCAGGCACGAGGCTGTGTACCAGGGGTACCAGGGTGAACTGGATGGAATCACCCTTGCCCTTCATGCAATACAAAGAAATCTGTACTGAAGAAGAAAATGAACTACTTACTGAGCACCTGTAATATACCACTGAGCTGCAGGCAATAGGCAGTCTAGAAGAATACTGAAGAAGAGGTGGGGGAATAGGAGGGATGAAAATCAAAGGAAAATTTCTGAGTGTCTGATGGCCCAAAGTGGTATTCTTAACTGTAGTTTCTTAGAAACTCAAATGTTTCATCTCATGTACCTCTGCAGCTCTGCCAGGAGGGCATTACTCATGAGCAAACAGAGGATCAGAGAAGTCTATTTCTTGACCAAAGTCACAAAGCTAATAGTCAAGAAAACTGGGTTTGGAATCCAAGCCCATTCTTCTTCCTGACACGTCACAGCATGGTCCCTGTCCCTAAGAGTCTTACAGGCTGGTAGAGGGGACTGGAGTAAGCAAATTGGAATCTGAGAGCGGTTTGGCACTACACCATGGTCTGCTAACTAAGAAAACCATTTCAGAGTGGGGATGCGATCAGCATGCCTGGAGTAGCCAGAGGAGGCTTTCTAGAGAAGGGACTTGAACCTTGCAAGCTAGCCAAGATTAGGAAAGGTTGAGGCACAGAGACACGGAATTCTCCGGTGGGCGGGATGGGGCACGGTGAACAGGGAGGGAATAATTAGAGCTGGCGAGCAGGAGGAGCTAGCAAATCCTCACCTGCCTGGCAAGGCCCGTGGGTGCGTGATAAAGGCCGAAAGACTCACTTCCCCCATTCAGACGACCTATTCTCCCTGCTTCCTGCTGCAGCAGGCAGGCAGTGGGAGGAGGAGGCCCGAGAGACTGAGACTGCTGCGTCCCGCCAGCAAAAACACGAATACGACACCTGGAGTCTGCAGGCTCGGTTGGGTTCAGGTGGACATGCAGAAATGTGGACCATTTCCATCTCGAAATTTCTGGGCTCATCTCCAGAATTTCTGTGAAGCTCCAGTCTACCAAACTGGAATTAGGGACTTGGTTGGCTCTAGTGCATTTGAAGGACTTCTGCCTTCAAAGGGAGGGGAAAGCCAGGGACCCTGTCCCCAAGGAGTTCGTAGTTAATCTCGTAGACTTTAGAGCATGATGTTATTATGCTGTCATTGTTAATTTATTTGTCAGGTTCCTCGCTAGACTCTTAGGTTTTGGGGGCTAGAGACTTGATTTTTACATTTTAATTCAGTATATAGTATAGTGGAAAAAATACATGCTGCATAGAAGCAGCGTGGTGGGAGCAATGGTGGTATCAGGGTGTTGGGAGGACTTCTATATGAGAGTATCTGAGCTGGGTTTTGAAGGATCAGGGAACATTCGGCTGGGGAAGGGTCATTGCAGGCTGAGGGAATCACATATACAAAGCTCTGGTAAGACAATTCATGAAAACCAGGAACGTAATGCAAGGCCCGTCACAGGTGAATTTCCAGCAGGGAACTTGGGTACCAGAGGTCTCATAGATGTGGACATATTTGAAGAGAGAGGATCTTCGGAACCCCTGAAACCAAGCCAGATAGGCAACAATCTACTTTTTAATATAATGAGGCCTGAGCTCCCAGGCTCCCCATCCTCGTCTTCCTGGGTAACGGTAGATGCTTCTCCAGGGTTCCCTGAGTGAGTCAGGCTGTGGAAGACATCTCCCTGCTGTTTGAGTGCAGGTGATATTCAAGCATCAAGAGAAGCAGCTGATTCCATGTTGACTTTAAGGAAGGGACTGGCCCTACAAACTTATATTTAAAAAGAAAACCATAATACCAAGGAATGTGGTCAAATGCAGCTTTCTTGCTGCCAGTGGGCTTATGAGGAATACGTGTTATCACCCCTTGTCCTACAGGAACGTCCCATCTGTGGGTCTTTGAACAAACATTCCCTGCTGAAGAAGCCATGGCAAGGATGGAAAAATTCCCAGCTGTTTCCCTTACACCAGCCTTTTAATGCAAATAAGAGGACAGATGCCCTTATGTGCCAGCTCTGTGTGGAGGTGGCGGGTGGAAGCCTCTGTCTTGTCTTCTCTTCTGCTCGGGTTCTCTGCAGCCCCTGGAAGGTGGCGCTGTGTTCAGAGGGTTCCTCACCAAAGCGACCACTTGGGGTCACTGTGACTTCGCCCAAAGCAGGCGCAGCGCAGTCTGGCCCGGGCCCAGACCCAGGGCTGGGCTCCTCCTCCTCAGAAGAGCCTGCAGGGCGTGGAAGGTCTGGCACTGGGTCTGGGGCTTGTGCCCTGGCACGTCAGGGAGTGCAGACAGGGTGAAGTGAACACTGGGGGCCTCGGCCAGCGCTGCTTTGCCAGCTGGACACCTCTGGGGGGTCTTGGATTTCTTCATGGAAAAGCCTCTTGTGGGCAAGCTCCTCGAGGAGCCCACCTCTGACCACTAGACCTCCCTCTGAGCCCCGAGGAGACAGTGCGGGATTTGGTAGAGACCTCGGTTTCCCAGCAACCAGAGGCCTGAAAGGCAGCAACTCGCGGGGCCTGAGCGGGGCATGTTTGCACACATCAGCCTTGGGTGAGCATGTGCGTGTGTGCGCGTGCACGCATGTGTGTGTGTGTCGTGTCTGGCTGGCTGCAGGTCTTTGTTTTCTTCCCATCCAACGCTGCACCATGAGGTCTGTAGGAACCTTCAAGTCCCTGGGCTTCCTCAGCCCTGTTGATGACTTTTCCCGTTAGTGGCTTGCTGCCTGGAGAGCCAGGTAGCAGAGATGCGGAGAGAGGTGGCCAGCTGGGAAGCGGCAGCAGCAGCAGGTGCGCAGGTGGGCGCCCCACGGAGGGGGCCACGGGATTAAGGACCCGGCGCCGGAGCTGGCTTAGAGCCCGGTGCTCGCGTGGCCAGGCGGGCCAGCTCCTTTTGGCCTCCTGACCACAGGGGTCCTCAAGTGTGGGCTCCTATTCCTGAGACGGGCCAGGCAAGAGACTGCAGATGGCTGAAGACGAGCCCCTTTCCCTGTTCGTAAAACACTGCAGCCACAGAGGCCTTTCTGGTGACAGGTGGGTACAGTCACCTCAGACACAGAGGCCAGAGCACCGGTCCCATGGAGGGTTGCTTTTTTTTTCTTAACCAAATTCCAGTCAAAGAATGAAAATCTGCTTCCTTTTCTTACTGCCTCCCTTCCCTTCCTCTCTCTCTCCCTCCACTAAGAATTTTCTGCATGGTTTGTGGCTTTTCATTGCTACTCAGAAAACAGTGGTGGTGCCAGTCCCTGCTACATGCTGCCAGTTCTAACCCAGGGGGACCTTGGTGAGCCTGGAAAGTATGTAACACTCCGGGCGGGGCCCCTTTGGGAATCCAGGTGTGGTACACTGGCCAAGCAGACTTCATGCAGGCTGAGAGGCTGAACCCAAAAAAGGACTTATCATTAAGGACACAGAAACCACCAGAGCAGAGGAAAAAAAAATATCATTGTAGACACTGAGTCTGTTGTTCAGAAACAGATTCATACTCCGGAGGGAATTTGCTGGGCTTTGCCTAGGGAGAATAATGGAAAAGAAATGTTTGGTATTCTGTGTTCCAGCCTGGTCTCCGTGTTACAAAGGGTGAGCTATGTGAAGGGGGAGCCTGGGGGTGGGGGGTGCCCTCTGTGTAACTCAGAGACGTGGAGTCAGGAAGGGCTTGCCTTCTGCAGTGTAGGCTGCGGAGACAAGGGCTTCTGCAGGGGGTGTCAAGTACAGATGCCATAGGCTTTTAGGACTTGGAGTTGGCTGTGAGAATAAAGGGGGTTTGAATTTGTACCAGGGGGAGGCCAGGTTGCCTGGGATCCAGGCTGAGCTTTGAGGGAATTAAAAACAATAGAAGGTCAAATGGCTACTGAATGTTTGCTCTGCACTAGTCCCTACCCTCAGTGCTTATAGAGAGAGAGATATATGATTTCATTTAATCCTCACAACAGCCTAGGAGGTAGACATGATGTCCTTCAGACCACAAAACGGAAGCATAGAAATTGAAGACATTTGCCCGAGGATGCACATGGATAAGTTGGTCTCCAGCCTGAGTGGGTGACTTCAGAGGCCATGCTCTGAGTGAGGGCTTCTCGCCCATTAACATACACACAAATCTCCGGAGAGGCTTCTAAAATGCGGGCTCTGATTCTGTAGATCTGGGGGTGGGGAGAGGGGAAGGGCTCTGACAGCTGAGGTGATGCCCTTACCCGTGGTCCCCATGTCCCACTTTGAGAAGGAGGGTCTCTGCTCTGTGCCACCCCTATTCGAGGAGGTCGTCCTAACCCATCTGCTAGCTCTCAGACCTCCTCCTCCCCTCCTTATTCATCAGCATCATCTCCAAGCATTGAGTAGTTTGCTGTGTTAGAAGCACTGCCTTAAACTCCTCAAGTATGAGATCTTGTTAAAGCCCCGTCACAGCACTACGAGGTAAGTGGGACTGTTCCCTTTTTACAGATGATGATACAGAGGCTTAGAAAGGTTGAGTCAATGACCCAAAACCACACTGGAAGTAGCTGAGCCTAGATACAGAGTTCAGAGTCCCAGCTCTTAACATGTTCCACAGAACCAAGATAATACTAGGGCAAGAGAGAAGAGGACCTCCTACAGGTCCCAGTTACTTCTGACCAGGGGATGGGGATGGTGGCGACGGGCAGAGGTGAAGTTTCGAGTCTTCCACGCTTTTTCTGGCCAGGGAGGAATCGCTTCAGGTGAGGCTGGAGCGCCCTCCCACTGTGACCAGGGTCTTGTTTTACATATGCAAGCAAACAATTTGTTTGGAACCCAAAACCAAAACCAAAACCAAAACCAAAACCAAAACCAAAACCAAAACCAACACACACACACACAAAAGCCAAAAAACAAAAACAGGTCTTGGAGGCTGAAAAACTCTCCTTTTTAGTACCCATGTTGGGGAGCGAAGGAGGAAACACAACTGTTTAGAGCCAAGATCAAACTTCTCCCTCTCTTTGCTTTGCCTCCTTCTGGGTCCTTCCTTCTCTTTCCCCAGATGCCACAGCAAGAGCGCCAGCATCCTTGTAATCTGCATCTCGGCGAGTACCAATATACCCGATCTCCTTACACGCCTATAATCCCTTTTTAAATCACATAAGGCTATTTGCCTTTATAAATCTTCCCAGCAGTGAGCTCCCTGGGATAATTATGTGTAATATATATTTATAGTTTTATTTCATAAGCCCAACTCAAATAAAAAAAAATCAACCTATCTGAGCTTGCTCTTCAGTAATGCTCTTTCCATCCTTGGAAGTCTGCAGTGTTTAAGTGTGACCTCTCCTTCCATGTTATTTCTTTAGTAGGAACAGCCATGAAATGGGGCAGAGTGGGCTTTTGAAGAGGATTCAGAACTGCGTTTGAGTCATGGCCCCCCTGCTACCTTTGTGAACTTGGGCAAATTTCCAAACTCCCTGAGCCTCAGTTTCCTTATCCATAAAATGGGGGTGCTAACGTCCCTTGCGAGTTGTTGCTGTGAAGATTAAATAAGCTAAAAATATATTAACATGAAGGTGCCTGGAATAACAGTGATGATCGATGAATCTAGAATCTTCTTTATTTTTCCCCCTGGTGATGGGAACTAATAACTCAGATGTGACTGGGTTCTTCCCTGTATCTCTCAGGATTTTGTGGTATTTCCTCCATCTGAACAGTATGCCATCGTCTTTGTAAAACTGCTAATTGCCAAATCAGCCTGAGGCGCTAGGCAGGGATGGGCTGCGCCTAGAACCGGTTCCCTCCTGTATCATTTCAGGTTTTTTTTGTTTAGCTTAATTTTTGTGAATGTCTCTAGCTCTCCGTAAAGACCCTATGCCAGCTGGTCTGTTCCTGCAGTGTTTAATTCACCCCCATTAACCTGCTTGGTCAGCATATCTTTCCATCTCCTTGCTGTGTTTTCAGGAGTGCGTCTGTCTGGAAGAAGCATTTATTATATTTGCTTTAACTGGCCTAATTTGGCAAGGCAGTCTGGGATTTCGGTTCAGGAGAGAAACAGCTTTGATTATACTGCCCTTGTTTACTGTACGCACTCTTTGTGGTGTATCTCTCGTCTACTAAGATGACAAATGCTTTTGCAAGAAGCCAAGACACAGGGTAAACAAAGTTTCTGAATGTGAGCACACTGGGGCCTCTGGTCCATGGCTGCTTTGCAAGTCTCCATCTGAAAATCACGTCTCCAGGCACCTAGCTCTCAGTGAAGCCCAGCAGGTAGTCCTTCCCGGATGGGTGTGTCTGGGGCCCCAGGAGGAGTCCTGGTTGGGCCCCACACCCCCACAGGGACAGGGAAGGCTCCCTAGCTAAGCATCCCAGTGACCCGGGGTGTCGTCTTAGTTCATACTGCCGCTATCTCTCCCTCTGCCTCCGGCACACTCTCTGGACCACTGTCTGCTTCCGGCCTTGCCCTCCTCCTGTCCACTCTCCACGCTGTCGCTGGACCAGTCTAGTCATTACATCACCTGATTCAAGACCTCTCGATAATGCCCCACTTACATTCTTTCTAGGGCATGACCAGGACTCACCTTATCAGTGGCCTCTTGAAGCCTATGCCCCCGTCATAGTGAACATTTGCAGTTCCTCACTCATTCACTCGTTCATCACTTATCCAGGACCTAGTAAGAGCTAGACACTGTGCTGGATGCTGGGGTGTCACAATGAGCAAAAACAAATACGGTCCCCCTTTCACAGCACTCTAGGTCTAAGATGGAGACCAACGATCCAATAATCACGCTCTAAAGTGCACAGTGGTAGCCTGAGGATGCTGTGAGGTGAGCGGTAAGCAACAGGATGAGGCTGCCAGGCAGGATGACCTGACCTCGCCTGGGAACCAGGAAGGGTCCCAGAGAAGTGACACGTGGGCGGAGAGCTAGAAGGGAAGCAGACACAGCGAGGTGAAGAGGGTGGTGGGAGAGCCTTGCTGGCAGAGGGAACCGCACGGGCCAAGCCCTGTGGCAGGTGGGAGAAAGCGTTTGAGGAACTAAAAAAAGTAGACCTGGAGAAGATGGTAGGGAAACCAAGGCAGGGCACGTGGGCCAAGCTAAGGGTTTGGAGTTTATCCCAAGAGCAACCGAAGTCCCTGAGATGGATGCACAATGGGATGGAGTAATCAGAAATGTACTTTGAAAGGATCACTGACGGTCTGAAGAGGAGATTAGAGGGGTCAGGAGAGAACAAGGGGAGGTTACGGCAGTGCTGAAGATGAGATGTGATGGTAGCTTGGACCAGGTGATGGCAGTGCAGTGGAGGACAGTACACATATGTGGCAAGCACCCAAGGGATTAAATCAGTGGGACTCCTGCGATGGCTGGATGTGGGGTGGGAGGGTTGGGGAGAGAGTTGTGAGGGGATGGACTCAGAAACCCCCATGCCCCCAGGAGCCAGGGCTTACTCACTTGTGAGTGTGGTCCTGGTAGTTGGACCGATGCTCTTGGGGACCAGCAGCTCATGGTACTGCTCACCCGCCAGGGTGCTGTACACAACCTTGTACTCCTGAACCTCCGCTTCACTGTTGTCCCACTCCAGGTCAAGGCTGCTTGCTGTGCGGGAGCCAACCCGCAGGTTCTTGGGGGCGTCAATCTCTAAAAAAGCCAGACATCACCAACATAACACAGGATGTGCATTTGTCCTGCATCTTGAACTTTAACAGGCTTCGGCTTCGGGAAGAGACCCCACATCTCCTGACCCTCTGCCTCACGTTTAAGTGAACCCCAGTACTGCCCGTCAGCTTTTGGTCTGCCAGGTTGGCCAAGACGGATTCTGTGGGCAGGTTGGAGAGTTTTACCTGGGAGTTAGATATCCCATGCTTTACACTTTCCCTGTTTCCGTTTAGGAGTTCTAGTGGTGTTCTAGAAATCGAAGAGTCAACCAGGTAGTATCAAAAGCTTGAGACTAAGCAAGGGAAGCCCTGGATGGAGAAAATCGGAGATGGCATCCAAGTGATTAAGATGAATCAGAGTAGTGACAGTTTTGATCACCAAGCAAAAGAAGAGGACTGACTGCAAGACTTTGGAGTATAAGATGCCTCCCCCAGATTTACTTGCATAGACACTGCTGAAAGGTTTGTATAAAGAGAGGGGACATGATGTAGTAGAAATCAGTCATCTTCGGATCCAGTCTGTTTGATTCCCCACCACTGACTCTTATTGTAACAGAACCCTAGGCAAATCTTCATCTCACTGGGCCTTGATGGCCACATCTGTAAAATGGGCTAATGATACTGCCATTTCAGGGAGTTGTACAGATCAGGCAATGCATGTCAAAGTGCATGGCATGGTGCCTGGTACAAAATTAGGTGCCTAAGCACTGGGCTGGCTTCCTGATGCCTCCAAAGCTCTTCCTGAGTTCCAACAATATGGCACCCCCAGTGCTTGCTCTCTGGGGTTCCAAGGATTCCACAGCACTGAAAAGACCCCTGGCATTGGGATCTCTCCCGCAGTTGTGTGTGTGTGTGTTTGGGGGGGTGCTCTCTCTCCCAGGACTGGTCATCTCAGGCTTACTTAGGCAGAAGCACCATAAACCACTTGTAGGGGAAGAAGGTGCCATCTTGACAAACTTCTACTTCAAAAGTTCTAAATAGGTCTTGACTTTGAGACTTGAATTTAACTTTGGAGTGGACCAGCCATTTGTTCTGGGAAACCCTCGAGTGGACTGGTTTAATTTGCAAACGCCAGGCAAGTCTCCACCGATGGTTCTTTGGGAAGCGGGGAATGCTGTGAATCAATCTGGTGCAGCTGCTGCAGAGTGAGAAGTGTTCTGTTTAGTGATGTAAATTGGGTGAATCTCTTAGCAGATTTATGCCTCTGCAGCTTATTTTTCTGAGAAATGTCTCCTTACTCAGTGTGGGTTTAGCATGCTGGAAACCGTGCATTCTCCACGTGCTGTGCGTGTGATTTCTGGAGCAGGCGGCTGGAGAGAGGAGCTTGGGTAGAGGGGCTCGAGGGAGAAATGCTCGGAACTGTAGGCCCCTAAATCTCACCCAGGGGAAAGCCTGGGCGAGGCCTGGACTGGGCGGGAGTTGCGGGAGTGGCCTGAATGGAACTGGAGCAAAAAGAAGTTCGTTTGGGGCTCAGGTTGAATCTTGGACTTACCTACTGCTCTTCACACCTAAAAATCACAGCCCTCGGAAATGTCAGACTGTGGTTTTGTTTTCTGCTTTTTTGGCCTCAGGGTCTGCGCCCTGTCGGTAGGGGGCAGTGTTTTCTCTGAAGGGACTAGACGCTTCCAATGTCAATGATCCCAAAAGAGATCAATCCTGGGAATGAGGGCTTGGGAAGGGGGCGTGGGTCTTAGGACTGGGGTGGCGTGAAATGGTTTGCTCCCCCTGGATCTTAAAGCCTGACCCCTGGGAGGGGCAGCCGAAAGGCACCTTGGCAAGTGGGAGCTGGGCTGGTCCCTGCAACACACCAGCAAGCCGGGCACAAGGCAAAGACAGACGTCCAGCGGGGAGCCCCGTGGAGGGGCTGGGGCTGTGGGCTCTCGTCTCTAAAACAGAAATTAGATCAAGCAGTTTCCCCGCTGAATACTTTCTGCTGCTTCCTATTACAACCTCCTAACCGTGGCCCACAGGGCTCTGCATGATCTGGCCCTGCCCGCTTCTCAGGAGGCACCCTGGAACATTCTGTCCCACTCCCTGTGCTCCAGCCACACTGCTTTTTTCTATTCTTAAATCGCATCAAGCTTATTCCCACCTCGGGGCTTTTGCACTGGTGCTGTTTTAGCCTGGAATGCTCTTCCTCACACGGCTGAGGTCACTTAGGTCTCGCTTAAAAGTTCACCTCCTCCGAGAGGCCTGTCTGACTCCCTCTGCAGTGTCCATCCCACTTCTCAGCCTAGCCCTGGTGATTGAAATGGTGCCCCGTGTTTTGGATGTACGGCTGTAACTCACGTGAACTGGGATCTTGTCTGTCTTACTTATTCTGCAGCCTCACTGCCTAGGGCGGTGCTTGGCACCTACTCGGTGTTCGTGAAGCACATGCGAAGTGACTGAGTGAACACTGTCAGTTCTCTGTCTCATCTGCTCCCTCAAAGCCTTTGGAAGAGTCTAGTTGACTGTTCCAGCTGGGGAGTGCCGCAGTGCAGGCGAGAGGGCAGCTGGTCTTGGCTGGCTGACAAGGGCCATCCAGGTTGAACCTGGGAAGGCTTTTGTCGGGGAATCCTGGAGTCCAGTCCCTGCTGCGCCGGTTGGAGCTCTGTTGTGACTTGAGCCTTTGTGTGAGTTTCCTGTGGCCAAGTGCCACAGACTGGGAGGCTTAAATGACAGACACATGCTATCTCTCGAACTCAGAGTCTAAGATTAAGGTGTTGGCTCCCTTCTGAGGGCTGCAAGGGAGAATCTGTTCCAGGCTTCTCTTCAGTAGTTTGCAGAAGAATCTACCGGAGGAGCCTCAGCAACTCACTGACGAGGGCATCTGCAACCAGAGCTCTGGAGGGCGGGGAGGCTGGGGGGCTGGCTGTGGGTTGCCCTGGGCTGGCTTCTCTCTAACCACTGGCCCTGGTGGGCTTCCATCAGTTCTCTCCTTTTTCTGAGCGGCTCTAAGACCCAGGCAAATATCCCCCTCTCCACGCGGGAAGCAAATCTCTGTTTTAATTGCCTGTGCGATTAGCGCGCTCCTAGAGTTGAAGCCATCACCTGGAAAAGCACTTTGGCTAATTTGAATTTAAGCGGAATTCTGAAATGACTGACGGCCCGACTGTGGGGGGGCCAGACACCCTCTCATCACTCAACCAGCACCAGCCAACCCCAGGGCCTTGAGAACTGATCTGCAAAGCTGTCCGAAGCTCCCCAGCCCCCTCACCCCCTCAGAGCAGAGGGGGACAGGTTGGAGGCACAGGCTGCGGCTGCCCAGGGGAGGCAGCCACCTAACAGCTGCCAATCCGCCCGCCAGGCAACCGGAAACAGAGAGTCACGCGATGCGCAGAAACTCAGGGGGAGCTTCTGGGAGGCAGAGGGTAATTGTCTTGATTGGAATTTTCCTGGGCCACCAGCCAATCCTGCTTCCATCTCGTCGACCTACACATCAAGAATTCGCTTTTCATCCTGCCGCTCAAGAGAGCCCTCTCCTCCTTTCTTGCCTCTTCAAACTCCTTATCTGAGCAAAGCACAAAGAAACCACTTTTTAAACAAAAACTCTCTAGAAATTAAAAAAAGAAAAATGCAGGACTCGAGGCCCTCAGGAGATCTCATGGCCTGAGCAGTGCAAGGGCTGGGGGAGGAAGGGCTGGCGGAGGAAGGGCTGACCTTGAATTCACCAGGAAGGGTCAGCCCTGAGAGCAGTTTTGGTTCAGTGAGGGAAGAGGGGAAGAGAAGTGGGCAAAATGCAGCTCCTTTCTTTAAAGGTGCATGCTCAGTCACTGGGGATCCCAAGATGTGTTCAGTACAGAAAGTGTGACCAGCAACCCCCTGAGTCGGGTGGAGTCAAGTGACCCCCTGAGTGGGGTGGAGTCAAGCACAGCGGCTGGAGGGAAAACCTGAGAGGGTCTCCTTCAGAATCAAACTGCCTCCTCTGTTTCGTCAGTGTCCGCACTTCCTTCTAACAGGGACTTCTCCTCCTCCTGATGTTTCCTTCTGTGCAGAGGGAAACCCATTCTGAGATTCCCGGCCTCTCTCTTTCTTACGCTGGGGAAAATGGACTTAATTCAGTGGTGAGTTTTGTAGCAGGATGTGGGCACGGCCCCTCTGCTCCCCTCTCTCACGGGAGCCCTCTGCCCCTAGGGACAGCCTCTGCCTGTTCCTCCGTGCTGTGCGGTAAGTCCTAACCTGAGGAGCCCCACAACTTCTCCCACGTGGAGGTCTTGCCCAGGTCCACAGGGCCATCAGTTGGCATCTGACTCAAAAAGCTACGTGCTCGAGGCTAGGAGCTGTGTTGGCCTGCATCTGTCTTACTCTTTGCCTTATTTATCAGCTGATTTTAAACACAGGTGGAGGATAATGGTGCTATTTACCAGACCTCCCTGCAGCCCCTTGGCTGGCTTACCCCATCCCTTAACCGGCTCTTAGGCCACAGCTCAATGTAGGATGCTTGAATGAGTGATTCTCCTTTATCCCATCAGAAGATGCCGGTTCTTAGGTCTCGCAGATGCCTGCAGTTTCCTTTCATCCCTGTAACAACTTGTTGGCAGTGACATTCCTTGATTTATGACCTCCCCAGTGCAGAGAGTCTGAGATTGGGAATCTGGCTTAGACAGAGACCCCCTTTGACCCAGTGAGAGCACGGGGGTGCCTGTCTTTGGATGGTGCCTGTCCTCCGTGTCTGCTTGCTGGCTGGCCTGATAGGCTCCGAGAGGGTCAGGGAGCAGGTCACGGTGAGGTCTGGCCTTTCTCAACTATCAGTGAAGCTCTTTAAGAATCCTGACAGCCTTGGGAAGGCGGGTGGGTGGCCATCCCAGTCAGGCAGGCGGCACTGACATGGGCTTCGTTCAGCCTGCAATCTGTGGGAGCCAGACCCCACATTAGCTTCTTGCCGGTGCTTACAAAGGGCAGGATGAGTCACAGACTCTCAGGCGGAAGGCCTGCTTCTGTGCTTTGCACAACTCCAAGGGGCACCACCATGCCAGTATTGTCACTGTGCATTTATGGAATCACTACAGTGATTTCCAGCAAATAGCATTAAGGTGTCTCCAGGAAGGGGCACTGAACTGTCTCAAAATTGCCATTTGGGCTAGCCACGTGGATGTTTAAGTGACTTCAAGACAAACTTTTCATTTGATAAAGGGGAAACCTCACACTCATGGGGAAGAGACATAGGTCCCGGGTCTGGCTGGGAGCAGAGGGAAGACAGGACCCAAGCTCTCACATCTACTGTGCACCGCGCTCGCTCCTCTGTGCCCCGATGTGACCTCACTGGGAGGTCCCCAAACCTCTTGCTTCCCTCCCGCAGTGTCTGTGGCACAGGGATGCCCAAGCACACGTCACCTCTCTCCCTGGTACACCCTCTTGCCGTGGGGGGTACCACAGCTGGCCCGGCGCCCTCCCCCTCCCCCTCCTCAGGCTCCCTTCCCCACCGCAGCCTCACCTGTTGTGAACTGGGTGGTGCTGGACTCGCTCTCGTTGGCTCCGCGGACGGCGCTGACCCACACCTGGTACAGGGAGCCGGGCCGCAGGGCCTGCACCGAGTACTGGCTCAGAGGAGGCTGCAGCCGGAAGGCGGTCTTCCCGCCTTCCCCGCCCACCAAGCCGTACTTCAGGAGAATGAAATCAACTTTGGCTCGAGGTGGCGTCCACTCCACAAAGGCCACCGTGTCGGAGACATCTCGAACCAGGATCTGTGTAGGCCCATCAATGACTGAATGAGAAGAATCCAATAGGAAAAAAAAACAAGTCTGAGAAATGACACTTGACATCAGCCCTCTTCTTTCCTCCTGACATTGGCCTCGTTGGTCGGGGAGAGGACACTTATTATCATCCCATTTTACAGATGGAGAAAATGAGACACAGTGAGATAAAATCTCTTTCCTGAGGACACATGGTTGGTCAGAGAGGGAATGGACACTAGAATGTGGGTCGCCTGAATCTTGCTCTCACGGGGCTGTGGTTTTTCAGGGCTGACACTTCCCAGTTTGGGCAGGGGAAGAGCACTTACTGGCTCAAGTGGGCCAGCACTGCTTCTGTCTGGAGTTTATGGGACAGAGGACAGAGAACTGTGCTCCTGGCGTGTGCCTGGCTGCCCAGGGCTCACCTTCTTTGAGCCCTGAGGAAAAGAGCTGCAGATTATCAGCTCTGTCTAAACATCCAAGACTTCCAACTTGTTTGCCAAGGAGGACATCGTGAGTATCCGAAAGACGTCCCTGCTCAACCGTACCAGCAACTCAGTCAGTCAACTGCTAAGACAGATCAAAAACCCAACAGACGTTTGTCCTTGTGGATATGAAACATGCCTTCTGGGGAAACTTGCTTTTCTGAAAAAAAGGATCTCAGTTTTGAAACAGCGTCTTGTGGGCTATTTTTTACCCCCCCACTGGTTCTTGCGTATTCCTGAGCCAGAAAGGGCACTGCAGTCACACGCGGTGCCTCAAAGCTGTTCAGCATATGCCCCTCATGAGTCCTGGCCCCTGGCACTGAGCAGCTGAGGGGAACACCACTGTGGGATGACGTTACCTAGAAAAGCTGGCTGGTTTCCTAGGAAACCTACCACCCATGGCTCCAGTACCCACGTGGGGTCCTGTTCATATTGAATTAGATGGGGGTAGGGGTAGGGGGAAGATATGAGAATGTGGAAGGGAAATAGAAAAAGAAAGGGCTTAGTGAGGGGAATAGAAAATGGTGTTCTCAGCTCCTCACGGTATGTCTACATGGCCAACATGGCTGCCTTTGAATTTCTCATCACCTTCCAAAAATTGACCGAAATTTCATGTTTGCATTTATTATGTGATTATATCCCTCTAGCGGGGCTGATTAATAATATTCTTCGAGGATCTGGAACTGGAACTAGAGACTCTGGCTGTCTGGTTAGCTGGTTTGGGACCATGAATAGAGCTGTGGTTGGTGTGACCATTCTCTAGCATATTAACATATAAATAGAAAAGGTCTGAGATGGAGGCAAGAGGGACTGGAGGGAAGGGGAGAGGGTGATTTATAATAAAGACATATTTGGTCTTCCTCCCCTTCTTAGCACAGTCCTCCTACAACCCTAGGAATTTTCTAAGTGAAGAGAGTGATAAAGATGTCTTTAATTATGTTAATGAGGCAAAGGAGGAAGCCGGTTGCCAAGGGACCCAACCCTGTGATTAGAGGGCGGGAACTTTCAGTCCCGCCCCTGACATCTGGTCTGTCCATCAATCGTGCATATGTAATGAAGCCTCCATAAAAAACCCCCAAAAAACTGGGTTTGGAGAGCTCCCAGATTGGGGGACTGGAATGCTTCTGTGAATGAAAAATACTGCAAACCATATCAGTAAACAAAGAATGCTGAAACCATCAGGTCATCAGTGGCTGCTGCCACCCCCCAGTGAAGACCAGCCTGCAGCCCAGCCTCTGCAGCCACTCACAGTAGCGCACCCTGAGGGGACTCAGAATGAGAAAGGACAGGATACTGGCCCTAGAGAGCCAGGTGCTTGTCAAAGGAATGAATTCAATGAGCCCAAATGTTTGCTTCCTCCCATGCATAGAAAAGCACTAAATTCCTGAGATGCTTTGTTTTCTCTAGATAACGAGTAATCTTTTATTGTTCCAGCTACCTGGTCTTTGGTATAAAGGCCTATATATCATAGCTCCTCCCCTACCTCTTTGGAGCAGTCCTTCACAGTGATCTGAGAGGCTGTCATCCCGGCTCAAGTCCTCCCACCAAATAAAAACATAACTCTAAACTTTTAGGCCGTGCATTTATTTCAGTTGACACTTCCATGTGTCACCGTGCCAGGTTCCAAACTCCACAGGGGTGGGAGCGCCTTTGTTTGGGACCTCATCTGGCTCGTCATTCACATCCTTTAATATCCCTTGTAATACACCAGTAATCCAGTGAGTAAATGGGTTTCCAGAGTTCTGTGAGCTACTCTAGCAAATTAATCAAACCCTAGGAGAGAGTTGAAGGGACCTCCAATGTCTAGCCGGTTGGACAGAAGCGCAGGTGACCACCTGGACTTGGGACTGGCATGTGAAGTGAAGGGTAATGGGACTGAGCCCTCAACCTGTGGAATCTGACGATATCTCTGGGTAAACAGTGTCAGAATTGAATTGGACAGTAAGACTCGCAGCTGGTGTTGCAGAGAATTGCTTGGTGTGGGGACCCCATCCCCTGAACACACACATACTGAAATTGGGTGCAGAATTTTAGGAGCAAATTTAGAGATAAGCAGAAATGAGTGACCATGTGGAGCTTCTAGGAAGATACAGAGACTAACTCAATTCTTGACTTTCCATTTTCTGGTTCAAGTCTTTTGTGAGACTCAGATGAATTTCTGGCCCTGGGGTTTCATGAGCCACTCTCTGTGTCCTTCCAGCCAATGCTCTTTCTTATGCCTCAACTAGTTTAAGAAAGTTTTTCTTCCTTGTTATCAGAAAGTCTTCACTAAGACTGTTTTTTTGTTGTTGTTTTCAAACCAGTGTGCACTGGACCACCTCCTCGTCTGTCCAGAACGGAGTGCCTCCCTCAGTACTGTCTCAGGCTGAGATTAAGCTGCTCGGTCTTTCAGAGTCGGGCCTTTCTGGGGAACACCCCCCCCTTTCTGGGTCTAGCTTAGGAGTTTTGGTCTGGCACCAGCCAAAATGAAAGTCACCAGACCATTTTGATTTTGGTGCCACCTGGTTTGGAGTTAAAATGAAGTTCTGTTTTTCGTATTTGGGGTAATGCGATTTAACAGAACACATCCCAGATGTTCTGTTCATCCTGCTGTATTTAGTGGCTTTAGATAACTTGGGCCTTTTAAATTTCACTTATTTTAATAATGAACTGGGGGAAAGGTCTCCTAGCTGCTGTATAAGCATAATGCCTGAAACATAGTAGACGCTAAGTAAATGGATGTGGAGTAAATGAAATAGATGGATGATTCTCTCTATCCATGAGAAAGAAAGGGAGGCATTTCAGTGAACTGGAGCTTCTTAGGGGGAAAAAAAATGATGCCACAGAGGCTCAAATGACCATGGAAGGCTTTAGTCCTTCGGCTCTTTAACGCCCCCACACCCTAATCATAATGATTGCTCCTGTTAGAATGTGACTGTGTAGCACCTAGGGCTCTGGCTGCAGGAGGTCCTGTCATTTGAATTCCCAGAATGGCCTGCCCAGAAAGAACCAGTCTGTGTGCCTGATGAGGACTCAGAGCTTCGCAGGAGGGAGGAGGTCAGACCTCAGCAGAAGGAAATAATTAAACAATCGTTTCCTAAAAGCAGCAGGCAGGGATGGGAGCCAGCCATCTTTTCTGCAGCCACCCTTGGATTTGGCCCTTCAGTTGGCCATTGGGTAGCCATGCCCAATTCCAGTCAAGGACGTATCCGCTTACTTGAACCTCGGCCCTAATTTTTAAACAAACACAGATCCTGCTCAAAAAGTCAAGTGGAATAAATATTTTTCTTTCCATTTCTTCATGATTCTGTACACAATCCCAAACGATGAACTAGGACTTTTTTCTTAATTGGAAAAAAAAAAATTCTGCCTGGCTTTACCACAAATGACTAGATCTGGAACTTTTCATTTTAATTTTAAGGAAATTCCAAACCAAAAAATACTGCCAATTTTGTAAAAAGGCGGTTTGAGGAGAAGACTAAAGCAGAGTTGGACAGTCTTCTCCAAGTGCTCTCAGGACGTTGGAAGCAGAGCGCCGTCCCCCTGGAGTGTTCTCTGCCCTCTTACGAACCATCTCCTTCCAGTCTTGTGCTTTTTTCTACCAGTATTTTCTATATATCGAGTCACAGAAATGATCTGGGGACCCCGAAGCATTCCGTACCAGACAAGGAGAATCTTCACATGTTACCAAATCAACTCTTCAGGGTCCAGCGTAACCTTGGGAAGCAGAGCTGTGGAAACACCCCGGCCCCAGGTGTCTGGAGAGATTCTGACTTCTTGGCTTTATGGTTATAGGGTTTCTTGTAAAACATACCTGGATGAGTACAGTGGTTTTAAAGCCCTTTTTCTGGGGAGGTGGGCTTTTTATAGTAACTATAGATTTTAAAAATACTCTTTTTTAAAACTAAAGAACAAAACCTTAAATGATGGTACAAAATATAAAACAGAAGTGGAGCTGCCTCGGTTGGAGGGTATGAGGGCCATGGGAATGGGAATAATTAAAGGCCCAGATTTCCACTTCGTCCTTGCCTTGAGGCGCTGCCCTGACACCCTCGTGCTCTAACGGGACATCATGTAATACCACTGTAGCTTTAGACCAATGTTTTCTAGACTGAGCATAAGCGTCAGCACCAGTGCTGTTTAGTTTGGATCCAATTAGCAAAGAATGAATCACGAGTCATCCATAAACATGTGCTCATTATATAGTGCTGTTGGTTCCCTTTTCTGGCCAAATTGGCCTTTGTTCTAGACTCATGGCTGGTGTTCTTAGGTGTCAGTTTCTGTTTGTGAAAAATAAAGATGTCCCGATATTCGCCTACCTCTGTTTCTGTTACGAGCAGGGAAAATCGCTTAACCTTTGAGTCTGAACTCTCCCATCAATAAAATGAGAACTAAAAATGCTACCAGAAGCTATTTATAATGTTTGAGAAATTCTTGGTGAGGGCACACTCACACACGCATCATACGTAGTTGTTAATTTACAGCATTGAGGTTGAACATCCTTTGTTAGCTAAGGAGACAATGAAGCCAAATGGGGTAGAGTTAATGAATCAAACCTGGGAATAATGATCTTGCATGAGATGAACTGTGGGGACGGAATAATAATCAACCTAAGTTGTCACCTTGAACAGTGACCCAACCTACACTTCCTGGTTTTGAATGACTGGTTTCCTCCTGCTGTCACTTCTCACTGTGTTTTCTGAGTGCATGTGCAAAAACAAGGCATTGAACACTCACTGTCATCAGCACAGTGCTAATCACTGTGTGTGCTTTATCTGATTTAAGCCTCATGTTGTCTCAATGAAGGCCGTATTATTGTTCAACATTGTCAAATGAATCAAGGTTTGGGAAGGGTTAGATGACTTTCTGCAGATCTCATGATAAGTAAGAGTGAGTTAGCTGCTGCTGGTTCCAAAGCTCAAGCTTTGTCAGGGGCTGACAAAGAGGCCTTTTAATGAGCAAGAGCAGAAGAAACATACTGGCTATCTTAAAGAATTTTCCCCATAGAATCCTCTCCCAGATTTCTGTGCTTGCAAGGATAAGGAAGACATTCAACGAAGCCTCTGGTAGAGTAGCTCCATCTCCAGGTACCAAAAGTAATTTCAGTTGTGGGGGGTCAGCCTAGCATCCCTTGGTCTCTCTACTTCTTGGGTGAGTCTGCGGTTTATTTCCCGAGTGACCCAATGTGTCGCCATAGGGAGAAGGGCTGGAGGCACTCACCAGTAGAGACGCTGGCCGAGGTAGGGCGGCTCCGGGCTTGCTCCTTCAGAGCCACCACATTGACAATATATTCCTCCCCAGGCTTTAGTCCCGTCTGGTTGAAGGATGTAACGTCACTGGGGAGCTGGGCAATCACCCCTCCTTCATTGTTCTGGAGGGTAGGAGAAAGGGCGAAGCAGAGAAAGCAAAAGAGAAAATCAGGGGAAGGAAAGGTGTGGGATGCTGATTGTGAACTGTGAATTAAAGATGGGGACAGCTTCTCTTCCCTCCATGCTGACTGCTGAGTGTCTGGGACCAGGCAGGACTCCCAGCAGGCTCAAAAACGCCACCAGTCTATGAGGATTTGGCAAACGGAAAACCAATTATCAAGAACATTTCTTTGGCCTCTCCTGAGTCTACTGTTTGCCAATAAAAATTAGTCATGAGGTGATGTAGATTAGCTCTTGCCAAAGATGAAATGTTTGATGGTTATGGTTAACATCCATCAGATTTTTTGTTTTTGGCATTTATTGTGATGAGCCTGCCTTTGGCTATTTAGAAGATTACAGTTGTGTGTGTAAACATCTTTATGTACACCACAACAGATTCCACACTAAGATATTGCCCGGTTTTCAGTGAGCCAGAGCTATTATTTTGCTGTGTCTGGAGTTTCTCATGGTGTTACACCGGCTGCAGATCTGTCATTGTCTCATTTCCCCTTCGCCCAACTGAGTTAGGAATCAGTGACACAAACAAGTACAAAGTACAAAGAAGAGAAATTTCAGAGAAGGATGGAACAAAGAACAATCCAAAGGAGAGAAGAAAGAGAAACAGGTGGAGGAGGAGATGGAAAAGATCAACTTGCTGATATTGGGTCCAGGATTTATCATCTATCCACCCACGTGTCTGTCTGTCTTCCTCTTGTTAAAACTTTTCTGTGTGTGTCTCTGGAAATAGAGGTGACAAGAGAACTCTCTCTGTGGCACTACCATTCTGCCCTATTCTTTGGTCTCTGCTCATGTCACCTGGAGTGCCCTATATGTAATTTATAGCCATAGTCTTATAAATCAATGTGAAAAATGCCTCCCACTGGCCTCCACCCCCAGATCACACAGTTACTCTATGTAGCCATATATTTGACCTTGGCCCTGGCTAGCTCCACGCTTATTTAGAGTTTTGCATATTGGATGCAAAGCAGGCAGACCTGGCATTGTTTTTTTCCCCTCTGCCTGAGCAGCAGAGTGACATGATTCTCTCTGCTCTGTTATAAATCCAATTGCCCACCATACTTTACTGGCCATTTTAATGCCGATAAGACATAAAGGAAACTCCGCGTATAGAATGTCTGCTTAGATGTATTCGGCTTGCCAAGACATGACTGTAGCCACACAAGAGAAAGGGGTGGCCCGTTCATTCCAGTGGACAGAGCCCTGGATTAGGAAGTGGAGACCCCATTCTTGTTTTGAGCCTGCCCCCAACTAGCTGTCTGATATCATTTCTGTTCACTGAGTCTTCGTCTCTATAAACTAAACAAACTAGACGTAGAATGAAGGGTCGTCCTCTGTGAGTGTGAAGGTCTCATGTAGCTCAGACCGTCCATGCCTCTAAGAATTCTGAAGTAAGAGAATGGTGAGATCACAGTCTTGTTAGCCAGAAAGGTGTCATCTGTCATTAAGTCTGATGAATGACTGAAAAAACGCTCTTTGATATTGAAGGATGGAGACAGAGGGAAGGAGTATGATTAAACATTACACCCTCATGAGTGGTATCTTAGGGGGAACATCAGTGGCGTTAATAAATCTGAGAAGACGAGAGCTCGTCAGCCACCTCTGCCGACTTAGAAAAGTTAGTTCTAGGATTCATAAAATTAAATGCTACTTTGATGAATGGAAAGGAATCTGAGGATACTTTTTAACTCAAAGACTAATAAGATAATTTGTTTTAGGAAAAATTTTCTCAATTAATAGGCTGTGAAAGGTGTTTCTGTGTTAGTCTCTGACCTCTGGAGACTGGGGTCCTGCAAGCTGAGGTTTGGTACCTCTGTCTACACAGAATGAAGCTGCAGGGTGACGATGAGGCTGATTCAGTTTGGGTTTTCTTATGTCCTAAAACGAAGCCCCAATGTTTTGAAGGTCTAAGTTTTCTGACTCACTAAATTCACAGCTTGCCAAACTCTAGAGCTTTCTGAGCAGAAAGTTGGGGCTGGAGGCTGCTTGTGGCTCCTCTTGTCATCCAAGGCCAGGGCCCTAGGCTGGAGGCATTTTTGTGAGTCAGTCCTTACCATGCCTTTGTGAAAGAAATGTTCTGTAGCCCAGACACCCGCAAAATGCCACTTTGTGTCCTTAATGACACAGAGAGACTGGGTAGTGCCTTTTTTGCTGCCCTGATTCCAAGGTGAAGGTATAAACACTCAAAATAAGGCTGCAGCAGCCCGACAGGTGGGCGTTACCTTTGGAATGAAGCTGATCTCCCACCCATCGAAGGAGAAGGAGAAGGGCTCCCACTGCACCTCCACCGTGGTCTCTGTGATCGTCTTGAATCGTAGCCCTTGAGGCGTGGAGAGATCTGGAACACAGCAATGTGGGAACCCGTGTCACAGCGACCCCCAGCGGGGGCACGGAGCATTACCTGGGGCTTTGTCTGGGTGTGGCTGTGGCGGCATGTGCTGGGTCAGCCCCGTCTTATTACACACGCAGTGGCTTCTCCGTGAGGGATCGGCCCACGCCCTTGTGGGCCTGGTGCTCAGTGTGGGTGAATGTATGAGTAAACTTAACAACCAAAACCTAATAGATACTTTTAAAAATGCTTTCTGTTTCATAATATATTAATATTAAAATACATAATATATTAATATTAAAATACAGAATTCACACTTGCCTTTCCTAAGGTGGTGAATCTTGGCATTTACATAATGTCTTTTTCAGAGAAATTGAACACTGTCTTCAGAGGCTTTAGGGGTTCCCGAGAGGCAATATAGCAGCTGACATCACTGTCCCCCTCTCACAACCAGGAAAAGGGAGGCTCGGAGAGTTAGCGAAAGATATGGGTCAAGCCAAATTCAGAATAAAGGCTGGAATGCTTTTCTTGATCACCTGATGTGCATTAAGAGTATTTTGTTTGGCTCAAATCACCATGTCAAGGATGGTCTGAAATTCCCATCTCATGCACAGGAGCAGAGCAAGGGCATACACAAGGGACAACAGCAGATGCAGTGATTCTTGCTCTCACTCCACCAGCTCCTATTCTCCAGTAATTCCTTCATTATCTCCCCTTTCTCTCCCTCACTCACCTTTGCCTCCCTTATCTTGTTTTCAGTTCCTTCTCATCTCCCTCTTTTTCTATCCCCCACGCCCCCCTATCCCCCCAGACACGCACACACATGCACACATAGGTGGAAGTATGCTTGTCCTAGTGGAGTTCCAATCACCAGCCCTGAAATAGGACAGCACGACTTTTCTCACTTCTCCAGGGAGCCTGCTCCCATTTCAGCTGTGCCTCTCGTGGGATGTTCCCACTGGAAAACTGACACAGCCTCATCCTTCCCATTTGGAAGCTTCCTTATGCTTCTTGGTGAGAGGCAGGGCTGGCTCTGAAACCCAATGGAAGGCATGTCCAGTGGGTTTACGTGATTTTGTCCTTGCCACCAGGGAGCTGGCCTGAGGGGATGCCCTGAATTGGCACAGTCAGCGCCACAGGAGATGGAAACCTCATCATGGCATGTGCACGTGGATCAGAGAGGAGACGCTTGGGAGTCGGGCCAGGCTCTTGCTGTGGTGACTCATCCCGGAGCAAGGTGGGAAAAGCGGCAGATGGTGACCTGCCTCTCTGCACAATCCTCGCAGATATTTAAAACTGGTTCTCAGGCACCAGAGGAATTGAAAAAAAAAGGTCAAATACAAACAGAGATAATTATAGGCGTATTAGGAGTCAGCATTCATAGGGGGAGTGCAGTATTTTAACCGGATCTTTGTTACCTGCCAAGCAAGGGGACAAGATGACTTCCTACATCCTGTCCCCTCTGCCCGTCCCTGGGCCTGCATCAAAGTGCACTTCAAGTCCTTGGGCCTCCGTGAAGCCTTCAAGGCCAACTTTTCCTACTCTGACCTCTCCAACCTCTCATTATTTTGAACTTTCATGGCATTTGTTACCCAAATACCAGCTTGTCATCTGAGACCTCCCTAAAATGGGCTCAAATCTCTCATCCCGTATTTGGTGAGGAGTCTCATTTTCCAGCCCAGGAGCTGGTGTTTCATGGTCACCTCTTGTTCCAGTTTCCTGCCACTGCTAAAATCTCTGTGTGAGAAGATAAAAAATAACTATTTGGACTTTGTCTTAGCACAGAGCTCCTAAAGACCTAGGACTCCCCAGAGTGATATGAGTTATCTTTTGTATGACTACGCGTTAACTGGTAGCCGGGGCCTCGAGGATAGCTGGTCTGCAGAAAAACGCAGGCATGATTTAGAGAGAGGATTGGGACTTTCAGCACCACCTCCCAACCTGTGAGGAGGGGAAAGGGGCTGATATGAATTAGTTACCAATGGCTAGTGATTTAATCAGTCGTGCCTGCATAATGAAATCTCCATTTTAAAAAACCCGTAAACAACAGGGTTCAGAGAGCTTCCAGGCTGGTGAAGCAGGGAGGTCCTGAGAGGGGGCGTGCCCAGAGGGGGCGTGCCCAGAGGGGGCGTGCCCAGAGAAACGCGGAAGCTCCGCCCCCCGCACTGCACCTTATGCGCGTCTTCCATGCGGCTGCCCCTGCGTTGTATCTCTTATAATAAA